AATGCATTTGTCGAAATGTTGCGATATTGTTTCATTTAAGTTCATAATTATTCAATACATGTTATTTAATTTAGCAGCATTACCACGAAGCACCGTGGTTCGATATTTATTTGAATAAAAAATAAAAATAAAAAAACTTAATTCACAAATTGCATGCCTGGTTGAAAGGATCCAAAGATCCCTGTAGACTTTAATATTGAGTTGAACATTTTGTTCATGAAAACAAATTAACATGCGTTTTTTCAGATTATATTTAGTTTTGCTTGGAAAAAGCTGGCCCAAACCAGTTTTATTTCATCAATTACTGAAATAATTAAATATTTAGTAATAAGCTTTTATGACAGAAATATCACTAGGCTACATGTAACTTAAATCATTTAATTCCTTCATTATCAACACTGTCTAGAATAGCGATTTAAGTGTGAATTGTGACTTCTCTTTGTGTTAAATCAGCCTCAGACTCCAATAGCCGGTGGGGGGTTGGAGGGACAGTTCAGTGCTGTATCGAGCGCGCAGGACAATAGGCATAGGTGTTAATGTTCCTCTTTCATATGGAGAGCGAGGGAGACTAAATAAACTTGTTAAAAAGAGATTCAGCGCGAGAGAGGCAAAGAAAAACGCATGTTTTAATTTAATTATGTTGCTTTGGACAATTTTCGTTTTGTAGGCCTACTGTTTTAATTGTTTAATATAGCTGTCATTTCTTTGGCAATACAAATTTAAAATGTCGCAAGAATAAGATTAGCCTAGTGTTTCTTATTTTGCATCGCAAAAGAAATAAACTCTAAACCCGATGCAACCCTGTTTTAAATAAAAAAAACTGTCCCGACACTTTATTTAAACCTTGAAATGTTCGAACTTGGTTTCAAACTTAAGTAATTTTAGTGTTCTTTTACATTACACAATAATTTAGCAGACTAAAGACGTGCTTCTTCATTTTCATTTTCTGATGCAATCGGCTGACAATCTTCCTTCATCAGTTTTTGTCCTTTGTGCAGCGGCTGCGGTTCCAGGAATGTAGCAAATTTATGTTGTAATAATAATTAAACAAAACTCTTGACTTTAAATAAGTAAACAGTTATAAACAGTTAGCTATTTAAGCATCAAGAAGGTTAAACATAAACGCTGTAGGGCAACATCGGTTAACAACATGTATGCTACATTGAGATTCGATCCGAGTCGATTGAAGCTCCTCGAAGCTCGTGTTGTTGCGTTAACCACTGAGCTATCGTCTATACGTCTGTGACTGTTTTTATTGCAATGTTTTACTTTTTCATTATTTATTCAATTTCATTTCAGTAGCCTAATTTCAGTATTGTGATTATGAATTATTTTAACTACGTTTCACTTGTTGAATTCATCTGCTACCAGCTTTCAAACGCTCTGAATCAGTGCGGTGCGGCAGCAGATTACGCATTAGAGAGAATAAACAAACACTTTTCAGAGTCTATGATTGTAGCGCCTCTTGGCGGTAAAAGGCAGCAAATACACCCCACATTTTACCGCCGCGGTGGAACGGCTGATGTGGGCATTGTCATGGCTTGCCTCGACATTTGCGTTTGAATAGCGCGCGTCCTCCGTGGGCGTGTCAGATTAACGCGTAATGAAGTGTAATGAGCTGGGGAAAAAAAATCTGACAGCACTCTCTTTTCATACAGATTACATAAACTGAGAATATTTGTTTTTTATATAAATTACATCATTAAAAAGAAGAGAATTCAAGCTTCATAAAGAAAAACCTCTCGTGCCTGTATGACAAGTATTTGCAGAGTTAGAGTTAATTTTTCGGACGTGTTTCAGAATGGACTGCACTGACAGAGAGAAGGCAAAACTCGCATCATGTTTATTTTTCTTTATTTGACAAAAAGCACAAAACTTTGTTTTTATTGTGAGTATACAGAAAAATAATAGACAATTAACAGGATCGATTGATGTATAACACTTATATGTACGATCAAAATCAACAGAGTATTTTAAGTCTATTTTTCTGCTATGTGAAAAAAAAACGGCAAAACGCGCGGGCGCGTTTCTGGTCCCCAGAGGGTTAAAGGAGGGTGATGAGTACAGGGTCCTTGACTGACCCAGTTTGAAGGGTTTCAGGACTGATGGGCCGCCAGAGCGTCGTCAACAGTTTGTCCTCCTGACCCCCATCCTCCCCTTGTCTTTATAACCCTCAATTCATTTGTTTTCTTACCCTAATGAGTCTTCCTGTTCCCAGAAAGCAAACTCTATAAGGGGTCCTTGGATTTAGGTGACTAGAGAAAGAGAGACCACATCCCTAGTTTGTGAGGGTTTTTTTCAGTGTCAGTTTTTTCGGTTAAATTTTTATTTTTCTCATTCTCTGCTCAGCCCCTTAAATACTCTATTTTTTTTCACCTGCCTTTGGTTTTCTCTCATTTCTTTAACTTTTTTTTTACATTTCTCAGCTGTTTTGTAATAAAAGCTCAAGTTCTACAAATGTTGCCATTGTTAAAATTGCTTTCCATCTCTTTTTCTTTAGTTCTACCTGCAGTCTCGGTTCACGTGGCGAGGAGCCCGTCTCCTACGGCCCCTCCTCCAGTTCACCTTGCTAATGATGGCCTTCTACACCGGCTTATCACGTGTCTCTGATCACAAGCACCACCCCACTGATGTCTTGGCTGGCTTTGTCCAGGGAGCCCTGGTGGCCTACTGCATAGTGAGTACATATTTGTATTTCATTCATTAGATATGCTTCAGGTTTCCAAATAAGATATTGTATCTTTTTAGGAGACAAGAGTCTGTTGTGGAGTCAATCTTGAATTTGTCTTTTTTTGGTCGGAAAGTGTACCAATCTGGAAATTCCTACTTTATGACTTTTGATAACCACTGGCCTTGATCTTCTTGTCTTCACAACATCTGGATTTTTTTTTAAATCAAATTGGTGAACAAACACTTTTTACACAGTGTTAACACCAGAAGAACTAATTAAACTTTCCTTTCGTAAATGTGCTGGCAATTATCAGCCCTACAAGTTTGACATTATAGCATGTTTTCCTGTTTTTATCTGTCACTTTGAAACATGAAAATATTTTTCTTTTACTGTAAATATAGTTTGTGAGAGTCCATTATTATGTTTGAACTCAACTAGAGGCAGATTTATCTGATTAAGAACCATTAAGAACAGACTTTATCTGGTGTCATCTGGTAGTGAAGACAGAAGAAGACCATCCAGAGTTTGAGGTCGGAAGGGGATCTGGAATATCTAGAACTAGACCACAACATTCTCCAGACCCCACCCTCTCTCTTTTTCACCCCTATCCACAAAATTACTCAACCATCACAGTGAAGCATAAACTTTTTCTTAGTAATGCAGAGCATATTGCCTCAATTGCACCATTACCAGCTCTCAAATGAAAGCTGGGGGGAGAGGGGGTTGTGGAAAAAGGAATTTTACACTTCATAATTGTGGCACATGTCACACTCGTTAGTGCCAAACTTTCCCTGCAGTAAGCAAACCTTCACTTTACTGGATTGTGTTTGGGAAAATTTAGTCTGCTGAACTGACTGTTCTCTATAAGAGAAATTACAATGTTAATTAGCTATTTAAAGAAACAGGATGTTTTCTGTTTCGTAAAGGGGGTGGCGAAAGTATTTTAGGCCCACAAGTGTGGTAGGGGGTTGTGGGGTGGGCAAGAGACCAATACCTCTTCCCCCAGATATCACCCCCATCTTAATTATTACAACAACTGAGGGAAAAATATCTGAATTCTTAGTGTTGGAATTGAAATATTGAGTTGTGTTTCTCATACATCAAAATACAATTCCCAGAATGTCCTAGGAGTGTCTTTCTTCAGTTTAATTGGTTGTGACGGAGCACAGTTTTTATGGTACACAGATGTTGGCCAAACATCTTTCTACTGGAATCATGAACCTCCAAAACATTTAATCGTAAGTCCTTGAATTTACTGAACCTGTGTTGTTCACTTTTCAGTTGGCTCTAGTCTTTATTTATTGGCATTTCGATTTTTCCAAGAGTAGTTTTAGGCATTTGCCAACCCTTTAATAACCTCATTAAGAAGTTTTTTTTAGTGAAACAGTCTTGTTTTGCTTGAATTAACTATCAGCTTCTGATGGACATGATTTTCTTTAAACCCCTCAGGTTCAAGCTGTAGGATACAGTCTTTGAAACCTGGAGAAATTTCTTCCCAGTGTGAAAAAAAAAAAAAAAAAAATGGCTGATAAGTTAAAATAGGAGAGAGCAGAAATGAGATCCTTTTCACTACAGATCAAGGCGCCTATGTACTTGTTTTTAATGAGCCTACATTTGGAATCTGTTCCGCTCCCCATCTGTGAACGCTTTAGAGGCCCAATTAGATTATCTCTAATAACCAAAGCTCTGATGGAGCCTATAGAGGTAAAGTAAGGTGCATGTCTTTAGAAGAAACGGACACATGGTAACATGCCAAAGTTATGTCCCCATCCCCAAACATCACGGATTGTTTTTTCACCGTAGGCTGCAGTGTACCTTATCCAAACGTCTCAGCTAGTAGTCTCTGAGTTCATGGTTGGGAGGTGAAACATTTCTTTTAAGCTTGACTATAGGTGCTGATTACTGCTTAAGGGGGTTGTGTTTAAAGACGCTTAAAGGTTGTAAGTGCTCTGGGTTGGTATCCAACTGGCTGGCTTCAAAGAAAAGGTGGAAAGTTACAGGTCTTGGTGAGTTATGGCCGTATTGCAAAATCTGATTACAGACTTACTGCATGTTCCATACTAAGGATCAGGTCGCAAGGTGCTGTTAGACTGTGATGCCCACAGATAACTGATCTCAGAACAGCAATTAATGTCAGTCTGCCTATGTTTCATGCAAGGGAAACTCGAAATTAAGCATCACAATGCTAACTAGGCCATCCGTTTCGTTTAATCTCCTAAAATTCCAATTCGTTATACTCAGGCCTGGTTTGTATCAGAGATTTTGGCAAGATTCACCGTTACAATTGCTAAAGTCAAGCAGCTTGGCATATGTTTAACTGTGATACTTAACTAAAATTCAGACTTCAGAAACCACTTTTTCCTTCTTTGTCTTTTGGACTTGTGACTGCGGCCACATCCTCCAGTTCTTCCTGTTGGAGAGTGGCGTGAGCTGTTTGTTCATGTCATCAAACACGGCCCACTTTCTAAGTTGCTGACATGGATGGAGAGAGTGTGAGAGGTTGGCTGCTTGCAAGGCTCGGTTGCAGAGGTGTTTCCTGCAGGACTAGACAAGGGTGGAAACAGCTGGAGGCCAGCGCTCAAACAGCCTTTTCCTCTTTCCACTCTCTCTCCATATCCACAGCACCCTTTGAGTTCTCTCACCACAACAGATCCTGGTCAACGGTATCCCACCATTCCTCAAGAGCACAGAGGGTCATGTTCAAGATTCTGGACTCCAATTCCTCTTACAATAATAGTCCATAGCTAAGTGCTTCTGGTCTGGCTTGGGTGGCAATATGGTTGTCCTGATATCCTATCACTCTCTCCCAAATGTTAGGCCTGAGCTTCACTCTTCTTTATTTTTTCCTCCATTGGCCGCCACAACACTCTTGTAGCCATGGTAACAGAGACCATCTCAAACCGAAAATAGTGTGGTTGTGTGTAAGAAGAACGGAAATTTTAACAGTGTTATTAAACCTTACTAATGTTATGCAGGAGAGCGAGCAGCCAAAACACAACTTGGTCTCCACAATTATTATGCAGATGTGGCTCAGTGCCTGAAGCTACAATTTAAGACACATGCATAACATAAGCAACACACTCTCACACATAATCATGTGCTGTGTTTGGCGCTTTTAGGATCAGGCACACCCAAACAAATGGAGGACCACACACAAGTGTACACACCCATGACATCTATGAACCTGTTCACAGTTCAGTTGAATCCCATAAAGCCATCAGTGAAAGTGACTGAAGTTCAGTGAGATTCATTTGAGAGTAGATTGGATTGAGTTGGTGGTGAGCCCTCACAGCTCTGGGATCCAAAATAAGTGTATACATTATGCTGATGTTTTGAGACTCTGACAAATGTTGGATGGTGACAAATTGTTTGGTGTCATTTCCTGTCTGATTAAGTGTTTGTCTGTGAGAGTGCCGGGGTGGAGCAGTTAGCTTGCCATGTTGATGATGTCAACCACTTTAATAAAATATAATACAGAGATGGAGACTAAAATAGTACATTAGGCAACTTGATGCCCTAGTGTTTTCACTTATGTTACACTTTAAAGAGAAAGTGTCATAGAAAACACGATTTTGATACCCTTGCGCGGCAAGCACAGCAGATTCAGCCATAGCCGTTGCCTGTTGCATAGCGTGTACGTGACTGTGGGGGAGGCATCAAGATAGGGGTGTGTTTGTTTTGTTTATTTCATCTATCAACAGTGTTTACCAGAAATTGATTACATCACCTAAAAGGTGAATTTTAATTCTTCCTTTATATGCAGTTAGTGGTACCGCAATAAGGTCAACGCACATCCACAGGCTTAGACAAACAAGAAAAACAGCTTCCTGGTGCTGACTGAGCATTTGAGCACAATGGAGTGAGTTTGCTGTGGAAGAACACTTTCAGACAGAGGGCTGTAACACAGGAAGCACTCACCCCGTGACACAGGTTCATTTGCTGCCTGTGATTATTGTGAGAGACATATTGGTGCCTGAATATTTTACAACTTGAACATTTACTTTAAAATGTACTGATAACCAACATAATAATGGTTACATAGGTGGTAAATGGTTACAAACAGATGGTAAAATAGGTGTTCATCATAAGTGTCCTGCCCGTAAATCGTGGCCAATACTCATCATAGAGTCATGCACACAAAGACTAATGAACAACAACAACAACAACAAAAAATGAGAAGAAAAAAGTATTTATATAGAATTTGTGATGCCACGCTGGGAATGTCCTTTTATTGGTCATAGTTTTTACTTACAAAGCCATAATATAATGTGAATTTTTTACTGGGTATAATTAAGTTTTTTACTGTAGCATTTTCAATTTAGTGCATTCATTTTGCTTTTCAAACGAATATGCACTTGCCATTTAAAAGCCCATATCAGACATCCTTCCTCTTATATTGAAATCCTTCATAATTGCAAACAAGCAGAGGTTCTAGATTCAGTTTCCTGATGTCATTCCAGTGCGATGTAAAGGTCACTCTTGAAATGTCATGATCTTTCTGGCATGCTTTCACTCATATGGGCAGGACACCCTCACAGGAGGCCCTATAGGATGAACTCATCCACTGTAACCTTTGGATAAAGCGCTCTTTGTATGCGAGCATGGAGTCTTTCACTGAGAGGATATCTAAGAAACAGCTGCTGGAAAGATGATTCCAGATCTCTGATGGCCTCTCTAAGGCTTTCTGTTCACTTTCTATCTCTTTCCACGCACACACTTACTAACCTGTTGATAGTCACAGTTTGCTTACTCAGGCCTGTCACTCACATAACCAAATAGGAAATCCCTTCTCTTTTTTTTGACTCTGTGTGCAAGTCTATGTGTGCTTTTTCTTACCCCTTAGCATCGTCCAAGGGCAGTGCATCGCTGCGGCTGACAGCAAGACCTGAAGCGTGTCAGGACAATTTAGCTGACCTCTTTTCCTGTCACACACTGGGCCCATACTCTTCACACACTCATAAAGAGCGTGTGTTTACGCATTGGCAGGCTTTCTGGAATCGGTGATTCCACGTTGCTGTGGTCCAGCTCAGCTGTTCTGCATGCTTCAGTAACATTCATGGTGTGTAGACGGCTAAATATCCCGTAGGCCTCTCCAATGCCTGCATAACTGTGAAAGCATCCCGTCTTTGGCATGAAACGTGGCTCAGACTTGTATATTTTCAGCTCTTTGTAAATCCATTGGGTGCAAACCTAGTCTAATGCCAAGGGCACACTTCCTTTCTTCCCCTCCCCGGTTTCCTGTTTTGCCAGTGATGTCATTAGAACGCAAAGAGAGGGTTGTCGGGCATCTCTCCTTGACAACAAAGCTCTTCCCACGCCAAGTGAGACCATTAATCCTGACCTCACTCCCCACTCCCTCACAGTGGAAGACTGAAACAAAAGAACTGAGGGGTTTCCTCTTTATCTTTACTACTGACTCAAGGCGTTGGCCGCTCTTATCAGCGTGTGACCTCATATCCGTATGTCACGGGCGATGAAATGCCAGCCTTTATATCATCTGACATTTCAAAAGCCATATTGCTCATTTGTGGCCATTGGAAAGTGCAACAATGCTTCCAAAATATGTGTCTGAATAGGGGTAACTGAGATGTTTAATAATATGCTGGTTAATTTAGCTCCTCTACTCCTTCGTCATCCCTTCCATCCCAGAAAAACAAACACTGTTTTCATGAACAGCTCCCTACATAACACGACCAATACCAAGTAACTAATATAGATCAAATGTGACAAAATTAAGGGGTTGTAGTGATCACTAAAGGGGGAACCAAAGGGAAAAAATATCCACTGATAGACGAATCCAGTAATAGACGCTCCCCTGTGTCTCTGTGTAAGCACTCGGTGAAGACCACATGTTTTTGAAGTGTTGATTATTATAGCCAATCACAGACACATGTGTTGAGCGCATGAACTCAATGGCCAATCAGAGGTCTTAAAGAATCCGTTCAACAGCATTCAAAATGCCAGAGGGAAATGCTTGCATCGTCATATTTTTAATATTTTTGACAACACCATCACATCACTGACAACAATTTTTTGTGTGTATTACAATCACATTCTGTGGATAACGTGATTTAAGTTGCATCCTTTGTTTTCTGGGAAGACTTTGGTTCTCAAATAAATGATCTAATTCTGTTTTTCTATCTCTTCTTCTAGGCCTTTTATGTATCGGACCTCTTCAAACCCAAAGCCAAGACTGCCACTCCACCTCCCTCGCCAATCAAGAAAGAGCTCCTCCCCTCTTCTGACATCATAGAGAGGAACAACCATCACAACATGGTGTAGGAGGGAATGAACGGGAGGATCCGTCTGTAATCTCCCCATCCCTCACCCCCTCCCCCCATCCCCTTGAAGAAACCAGAACAGCCACCTGTGACAGAGGAGCTACGGCCTAGCTGACACCTCCTCTCTCTCATCTGACAGTAGAATGTAGGGACAGGACAGAGACAATCCTATTGACTCTTATTATGACTTTATAAAGACCTCACTATCCTAGAGCCCAATCTGGAAGGCGAAACCGACACAAAGCTAACAAAAAAAAAGTGATTTCTCCCTCGAAATGTTGCGTAATTTGTTGCGGAGCATGAATTCAGTTCGGGCAAACCGGCCCTTTGACGAAAATAATACACAGAAATATAAGAATGCGTTAACGAGCGACAACGAAAGGAAGGAGAGGGTGAATGTGAGGCTGGTCATGTGACCAGCGCTTCTCTCTTTCTGACCGTCTCTTTCTATTGTCTCTGTGGCCTTTCCGTAACCGCATAGGACAACAAATTCCTTATTAATAGGAATGATTCGTTTTACCTGCGATGTAATTAGCACAGATATATTAACAATATAAAGAAGAATAACTTATAGCACTATATCCAAGTTCATTGTTAAATGTCACCACTCGCTATCTGAGAAGTGTAGCTTTGAGAAGCTTGATGAAGGTCTGTACACGAGATCAACAGCCATCAAAGCTGATCTTGTTACCCGAACAGTGGCCTAACTGCATTTTAACGGGTTTTAAATGGTGGGTGGGTGGGGAAAGGGACTTTTTTTTATATAGATAAAGACAGATAAAGATATTTTAGTATATGATTTCACGATGCCCGAACTCTGGGGGCGTGGCCGAGCCGTGCCGCCTCGCTGTCTTCTGATTGGTCAGAGCGAACGCAGGGGGCGGAGTTAGATGTTGGGGAGGATGGCGTAGAGTTGTGTCTCGCCACCACGGTCGCTGGGATTGATTCCCACTGACTGCACTGGCACATTTTTTTTATTTTTTTTTGGAACTGGGAACGAGCCTCTTCCGCTGGCTGGTTTGATCTCTTTCCCTTCCGACTGCATAATCACTCAACTCTAGTTGTGTGTTTTTACCCATAATGCCACCTGTGCCCTCTGCCTGTCCTGGCAAGAGTCAAACTACCCCAAACCCTGACGGGGTTAAGGGGATGTGGGGTCCTTCAGCAGGACTCTCCGTCTAACGTTTGTGTGTTTATATGTGTCGCGTGTGTTTCTGCAGCCAGTCCTGGTGCAGTTTGCCGTTACCATGTGAAGAAACTTAAGAAAACTGTGGACTTTTTTTTTTATATATATATGCCTTTTCTTAGCCTTTGTGATCCTATCGTGATGATGTCTACTGTCCCCACTAACAGCTGTACAATAATGCCTGACTATTACAGAGAACACATCCATACAACACAACTCAAGCTCTAAATGTGTTGCACATCCCTCCCATTGTATAGTCCGTCCTATCATTTCAACAAACCGTTTTATTTCTCTCTCAGAAGTATATAAATAATGTATAGATCACTAAAATTAACTATGTAAGATATTATTTCTGAACGTGTTTAGATATATCCACTATGAATCTAAAAAGCAATGTGTCATGACCTGTGTTATTTACAAAGTGCTGCTTTTATGAGCATTGATTGACAGATTTTTGTATTTAGGTAACTAAAATATTGTAGATTTGTGATAGTACGTTTTTAATAAGCGTTGAATAAAACACATTCAATTGTATCAAATTCACTTTTAGTATTTTTGTATTGTCTCATTTTGTACAAAATAAATAATAGCAAAATGTGTTTTGTTTTTTTTCTGCTAAATGTACTTAGCTCTAATACATGTGCTTTTAAATAAAAGCTCATTATAAACAACAAAAAAGTGTTTGGTTTCTTATTAAGTGAAATTGAAATTGTCCTGTTTTCGATGAGTAAAACCCATTAAAATTTCAAACAGAACATTGTTTCTTAATTGATTTTATTTAAATAATTATATTTCTTTTTAAAACTGAATTTTCAGCATCATTACTCCAGTCTTCAGTGTCACATGATCCTTCAGAAATCACTCTAATATGCTGATTTGCTGCTCAAGACACATTTCATAGTATCAATGCACAGTTGTGCTACTTACTATTTTTGTAGAAACCATGATACTTTTTTTCAGGATATAAAGTTTAAAAAAACTGTGTTCAATGAGTAAATCACAATAGTTTCGAAAAGAACATTTTTATGGCGTATTGCGTGTGTTGCTTAACTACCCGTCATAAAAAAGTTTGAAAAAGAAGCTAAATGAATTGTCTTGGAATGAAATAATAAGATTTTAGTACCGTCAGCATGTTTCAATCAGGGCTGGGCGTTCTTGTTTTCCTAGGACTAAGACTGACTTCATATTTTGGCTGTGTTGAGGAGCCATGATCGTATGATCGTATTTTCTAATGTTAGGCTCCCTGACGGTGGGACGCTGTCATATTCTCCACTGTTATGAAGTCTGTTAAGTCTTGAAACATCACTGTATAGCTGAAACATCTCTACAAATTACTCTAAAATGCAACTAACCAATCAAATTGAACGGTTTAATGAGGGAAAATAAATGCCGCCAAAGGCTGGTGCGTTGAATTGTGGGTACGTTACATCAGTGGGTTGGGTTCGGGCCAGGCTTTTGAGGTCTTTGCTGATGGATCGAGGCGATGGCACTGAGAGCAGTTCTGGTTCTGTGGTCATGTTTGGCTGAGGGAAGGGAGCTGGGGAGGCCTGTAGGCAGGACTGATGCCAGTACCGAAAGAACACGAGGGAGGTTCAGTTACTCCTACAGCCTTGAGCCTCAGCACAGGCTTTTTTTTTCTAAGTTGCAAAGGCTGGGCTATTTTACTGGTTTTGCACTGACATCTACACTAAGCCACCAATACTAGTCCTGCCTCTTAAGGGCCATCAGGTTGGAACTTTTCACCTTAACTCACCTGATTAGAAGCCAGATTATAATGCAACAACGGCGTTTTGGGCCTTTGATCAATGTTTATATGTGAATAAATTCAATTCATGCTCAATTCATATGGAATAGTTTTATAATCTCTTTATGAACTTTTTGAAGTGTCAAAGTGGTAGTTGCGTAGCTGTCAACGGAGGAACAGAAATCTCTCAGATTTCATTAAAAATGTCTTCAAATTCCCCAGTAGTGAATCATTTTATCCCTTTAAATTCACCTTTGATCACCAAAAATGACACTTTTTTTTTTTTTTTACCTTTATTTATCCAGGTAAACTTTGAGAACCACTTCTCATTTACAAACATGACCTGGCCAAGAGGCTACAAGAATAAATAAGAACATACTGTACAGCTGTATATAGTCAAACACATAACACATAGAACAAGCAACTAAATTAAAAAAAAGATAGACAACAAAGGGGAAAAAGAAAAGAAATAGAGTGCTTAAATATGTGTGTATAAATATGGTTGATGATTGTCAGCAGGAACAAGAGTCAACTGTGATTTTCGAGGTTTTGCTTAAAGATGGAGATTGGGATCAGGTAGTAGTCCAAAGGTAGTAGAAGTAGAGGGGATACTAAATTTAATCAAATTACTTGATCTTGTGTGATAGGTGTTATGAGCGGCATGAAGTAGAGATGACAAATAAAGAGGTGCCTTGCCCAGAATTGTCTTGTATATGAAGAGAAACCAATGATGGAGCCGCCGGGTATAAAGGGAGGGCCAACCCACCAGTTTATACAGGTCACAGTGATGAGTGTGAAATTGTGCATTAGTGGCAAAACGGATGGCTGAATGATAGATTGTGTCAAGTTTTTTTAGAGCTGTTTTTGATGCCATTCTGTAGATAATATCGTCTTAACGAGGGTGCATTTGGAAGCATGGGTAAAGGAGGCTTTATTACGGAAAAGAAAGGCTAGTCTAGCTTTGACTTTTGTTTGAAGGTTATTGATGTGTGTAATTAATGACAGGGATGAATCCAGATACCTAGATATTTATATTCTTTGACATACTCCAGAGCCATACCGTTCATGCAGGTGATTGTAGGTGGAGTCTCTGTAACCTGTTTTCGGCTAAAAAGGATACATTTTGACTTATTGGTGTTAATACGGAGGTGGAGACTGTCAAAGAACTGCTCTATATAGGTGAAGCTGAGTTTAAGACTGGAAGCCGCAGAATTGGGAGAGGAACCAACTGAGTACAAAATGGTATCATCTGCATAAAGATGAATCCGAGAGGTACTAACAGCTCTGGCAATATCATTGATGTAGATAGAGAAAAGGATTGGACCCAGGATGGAGCCTTGAGGCACACCTTTAGAGACAGTAAGTGGGTCTGACATAATGTTGTCAACCTTTAATTGCTGACATTTAAAGTCCCCCTGTGGTGAAAATCAAGTTTTTAAAAGTTTATATGTCTATGGTCTTTTTATCATGCTTCAAGACAAACCAGGTACAAATTCATGTCAACACCATTGCTGAGTATTTTCTCCTTAAAACTGCAGTGAACTAAAGACAGTCTCAAAAACGCGGTTTGAAATCACTGGTGTTTCTGACATCACAAACTACCTTGTAACCAATCAGGACAACGTGTGATTGTCACAGCTACCACAGTAGCCCCCGTAATGCCTTCTCTGCACCAAGTGAATGGGTTTCCCCTGGGGATTTTCAAACTGTACACTTGCCTGCCGACAGTGTATGACCACCTTTGACTATGAAATCAGTCTGTTATAGTCAACCTGCAATAAAACACCTTCCACATTCAGGCTTAAAAAACACAAAAGCAGATGTGATAAAACCAGCCTCAATGCTGAGTAGATAAACTTCCCAATTACATCCGCTGTCACTGCTTGAGTTTAATGACGATATTGGTTTGTGCAGGGTGGTTTATGAGACCTCCAGCATACAGTACGGTCTCATTATACATTACTCCTGATACAAGAAGAGCACTGTAACCAACAGAGGAGCTGTCCAGCCAGAGCTGCTGTGGTAGGGATGGGAATCAGACCGGATCGAGGGCAGACCCAGCAGGAAGGACGTCCAGGGTCTCTGAGGGTCTTTTCACTCTACGGCCCGCCGTGAGGAGGGGCGACAGGGCTGGGCTCCGCTATCCACTTCCTTTAGGGAAATGGAGCACATTCCTGAATCCAACCTAGAAATGCACAGGAATGGTCACAAAGAGGACAGAGAGAGAAAGAGAGGGTGGGGGTCATCTGCACAACCAATTAAAGTTGAATGCAAAGGTCAAAGGTGATGGTATACAGTAACTACATATTCAGACAAGAGGGGCATTTTAACTGAAACCTGGAGTTGTTTTTAGAGATTTTTCCCCCCATAAATATCAGGTTGGGGGAAGTTGTCACCAGCGTTATTCTTGTGTTATTTATATATCCTTTTATAGTATTTATTTTTAATTAGCTTTTGTTTTTATATTTTCAGATTTAATTGTAATTTTAGGGTCAGGGTTAGAGTTACCTTAAATTAACAATAAAAACACTGGTTGTTATAAATGTCAGAAATACATACTTTTTTTTTAATGTGTGTTAAATGAACTGCACCTTTTTTTCCCATGGACAATAAGAATTAAAATGTTCTATTAAAAATGTTCAATACGTTTTTTTTTTTTTTTTTTTTTTTTTTTTTTTTTGCCATGGCTTTAAAGTATGTCACTGTAAAAAAAAAAATTCTATTATCAATAATTTACGACAACAAATGTTTTTACATAGCTTTAACTCATTTTCTTAAATCAGTTTAATGTAATTCAAGTTGAAATGACTTAAACATCCAAGTT